TGATATGCATGATTTTCTAATGAGGCTTCAGTGTCTGAGGTTCAAGAAATATCACATTTAAAAATGAGATTCTTAGGACTTTTGCAAACAAGTTTTATACTTGCTATATTTCCATTGATTGATAGATCAGATGAAAAGAAGACAGAGAGAAAGAGGACTTTTTTTAATACCCTCCTCCATTTATAAAAATCTTTGAGTTGCACATTTTGATTTTTTTTTTTAAATCCATTCACTCTTACTATTTTAGTATAGATTTCTTCCAGAGTTTAATAATAAGTAAATATAGATTTAAACATTACCTTTTATCTTAGGGAAAAAAAGAAAAAAATATCAAAACTCTCACTTGATTTTTTAAATCAAAATGATATCTTCATAAGAACTCTAAAGATTTCTCTTATTTGTTACAGATTGATATTTAAAAGATATTTTAAAAAGTCTCCTGCTTGGAATTAACAGTATATTGCTTATTCTAGTCTCTTTTTTTTAATTATAAAGTTTTATTCACAAGACATATAAATGTTTCTTAGTAGAACATAGTGTACTTTTACCTGTAATTTAGTTAGTATTTTTTGATCTTGGTTTACCATATATAACCATATGGAAGCTCAGCGGAGCACATATTCTCCTAAGTGCTTTAAAATTTCATATCAGGTCAAAGAATCTGCCTGCAATGTGGCAGACCCTGGTTTGATCCCTGGGTTGGGAAGATCCTTGGAGAAAGGAATGACTACCCCACTCCAGTATTTTTGCCTGAAGAATTCCACAAACGAAGGAGCCTGGATGGCTGTAGTCCATAGGGTCACAAAGTCAGACATGACTGAGCCTCTAACACACATTATTTATGTCAGTGCTTTACATTTATTACAATCATTTTACAGAAGAGGAAACTGAGGTTTAGAGAATTTAAGTAAGTTTTCTAAAGTTACACGATTGATAAATTATGGGTCTGATTCTAGAACCCATGTATTTTTGTGACAGTATGTAAAGCACTCTCATAAACATGCAATTTGATCCCACTCTGTAAGCTATTCAGATACTATTGTTTATTTTTATCCGTGGTCTAGGACACAGAGCTCATTTTTTTTTTTTTTCCTGAGATTGCATAGCTAGTAAGTGAAGTCAGTGAGCCTAGAGTCTCCAGATTTTGGAGTACTGATCCAGTGCTGCTATTGCACATTAAAAAGAAAGAAAGAAAGTCATGGTAAGTCCCACAGAAAACTTAGAGTATATATGAGTAAAATGACTTTCATTGAACAAAGGTGGCATCCACCAAAGCAAGACGTCCAGACGTTATGAAACAGTGTGGCATGTCTGAGAAAACTGACAGTCTAATATTTCAGAAACTCTGTGGGCAGAAGCTGAATCTAGAGTGTGTGCTTTGCGACTAAGAAAGGAAGGCGCAGTGTAGGAGCTAAGAGCAAGGAGCCTGGAGTAAACTGGCACACGTTAGGATGACCTTGACAAGCCACTTCAATCTTCAATGTCTTAGTTTCCCTATCTGAAAACTGGGAAAGATCTCTGTCCATGACTCCATGTGGTTTTTACATTGATTAAGTTAATTGATGTTTAGAAAGTGTTTAAATATTACCTGGTATAGTAGAATAGCAGGCACTGTGTGTGCGTCGTGTTTAAATGTATAGTACGTAATTTGAACATCCAAGGAATTTGTGGAACAAAAATATGTGGGATAAAGCTGAGTTTTGGAATTGGAGGATCTTATTGGATATTACTATTCAAGAAGATTGGCCTAGGGACAATTCAGTCAGCACTGCTAAATGCTTCATACTGTCTTTTCGTTGTTTCTAATGAATGGGCATGCAACAACTTTAATCTCTTGGACCCTACTTTTAGGGGTTATTAAGAACGCCTGATAAAAGTAGAGTGGAATCATTATAAAAGAATTTGTATATCAAAATTAGACTGTCATATGTAATTTTGTAAGATATGGAGAACTTTTTCCAGTTCTTCACAGGGAAAATGAAATAACAAAAATAGATTTATTAAATCCTTATTATGTGTTTAGCACTGTCCTAGTATTTAGCTTGTATTACTGAACTGAACTGAACGCCTTCAATCCTTGCAACAATCATATTATGTCACATAGCAAATAGGTACAAAGCCAGGCATTCCAGCTCTTGAGAACATACTCCTTGCCAGTCTTCCTTAGGGAAAGACAGTGGACAGCATGTGTAGGATGGACAAATATGGGAAGCAATTAGAAACAGGGGGAGCAGTTTGCTGTGGAAACATAGTCAAACTAAATTTCTAAGAATTATAATAGGTATAGATTGCTGACAGTATGCCACATAAAATTATTAGACAACGCTATCACACACATTTAATCAATATTATTCTTTCAAATGTTTGCCAATTTCCAGCACAAAAATAATCTGATTTGGTTCTGCACTTCTAGATAGTCTCTGGAATTTATCTATACTGAGAACTAGAGGGAATTGTAGAGGGGTCAAGTTTAATCCTGTCTTTGATGAAAAGAAAATTCTTTTTTTCTGTCATGTTTACTCTCCCAGTTTCAGTGAACTTTATTTTATAAACTGGATAAAATTTACCAAAGCATGAGATCAATTGATTATTATATGTTCATGGAACATTATTGAATTGCAAGGTTAAGTTATTTTACAAATGACTCATGATCTATAGCCAATGGGTAGGGATGCATCAGTTCAGGTCTTCTGGAAAGCATATACTAAGGTAGAATTACAAGAGCTTTGGGGAGGGAAGGGAAGGGAAACAGATAAAAAAATAAAACAGGAAGAGCAGATATGGCCAAGCAGAGCCTCAGACTGAGATGTAGGTCAGCCATCTATGAAGACAGAGAGAAAGCAGAGCGTTCAGAAGGATGAGCCTCAGAAAGCAACGCAGCTCCGAGGGTCTCACCAAGCTAGTGGCGAGCCCCAGAATGAATATCACCCTTTGCAGGACTCACGCAGGGGGCACACGTTGCCTGGCTCCAGTCTGCTTGCCGTGTTTAGTCACTGAGGCGAGTGTGACTGCAGTAGATCCTGAAGGTGCAGCAGCTGGAGGCTGTCCGCCCACTGCAGGCTCGGCAGTAGAGAGATCCTAGCAGGCACTCCCACGACTGCAATGGAAGTATAAACAATAGTTTTCTGGTTGTAAAGAATAAAGTGCTTGCAACAGTTTATATTATGAGTATACCATCCTACCACACTCTGAGTTCTTTTTTTTTTCTTTTCAGATGTTTAGAAAAGTTCTAATAGTCTATCTGCCATGTTTTTTGGTTTGTTTTTTTTTTTTTTAATTTGCATCATTTAACTGTTCCCTAAATTGAAGTATTTTGGAGAAAATCTTCCAGCCTTAGATTTTCATCAGGTTCAAGATATGACCTTGGCTTCTGAAGAGGTGATAATATAACTTAACCGTCTCTTCTAAGCTCACCTTGTGATACCCAACTCATTTATTTGTTTAATCAGCATTTACTAATATAAAAGCAATAAACGTTAAAGTATGAGGGAATGTTCCAGGAAGTGTGCATATTTTAGAAAGTATAGAGATTAGAATGCTTATGGATTTTGTTAGCAGAGGAGGCTAGGGATTTAGACAGAGAGCAGATCCTAATTGGAATACACACATTTTATCCAGAAAGTGACGAGGAGCCCTGCAAAACTTCTATGCATGACAATGACATAATCAAACTCGTGGTTTAGCAGGAATACTCTGGTGGCCAGCTAAGATAGGCAAAGCCTGCAAATAGAGATCAGCTGGGAATTTTTTTTATTGTTATCCAGAAGAGAAATGAAGACAGAAACTAAAATATTTAAAAGAATTTCGTGATTAATTGGATGTAGAATAATCAGGAGAGGGAGAGGACAGGTGACTTTATATTTATGGCCTATGTCTTTGTTAATTAAAATGTTGTGGTCTGAAATCAGCAGCATCAGCATTACTGGGAGCTCATAAGGTATGCACAGACTCAGTCCCCACTCCAGACCGCCTGAAACTGCTTTCTTCAAAAGATCCTCAAGTGATTTATGTGAGTAAGTTAGAGAGAAAACCCTGGGAGATAGTGAAGGACAGAGAAGTCCGGTGTGCTGCAGTCCATGGGGCCGCAAAGAGTTGGACACAATAGCAAATGAATAACAAAGTTAGAGCAGCATTGGTTTAGTCAAGGGTCAGTAAACATTTTTGTAAGGGGCTAGAAAATAAACATTTTAGGCTTAGTGTATATACAGTCTCTGTTGCTTCTATACAACTTCACTGATTTTAGCATAAAAGCTGCCATAGACAATGAACAAATAATAAATGAATGTGGCTATGCTCCAATGCAGTTTTATTTATGGACACCAAAGTTTGGATTTTATATAATTTTCTCATATCACAAAATCTTCTCTTGACTTGTTACAACCATTAAAAAATATAAGTTGTTCTGAGTTTCTGAGCTTTACAAAAATTGATGGCAGGCCAGATTTGGCTCCTAGAAAATATTTGCTAATACCTGGCATTGGTGAGTGAACGAGTGATGGGCCATTTACTGAGGTAGGAAATCCAGAGACAGGAACAATTTGTTGGTGAGATGTGTTGAGGTCCATAGGACAGGTATTATATCATCTTTTAAATAAATACAGATGTTAGAGACTAAACAAACTAATGAGAAAGTTTTTATAATTTCATTCTGGGAAACTTGAACTATCTCCTGTATTTCTCTGATGATTTCTGTTTATCTGATGAGTCTCTCGCCAATGAATATAGAGAAAACCAATTCAGCATGTTTTGTGCGGTAGATGCTCAACTAGTTTTGATTGATATCCATGAAAACAGAGTATTTAATCTTATTAATCAGAAACTTCAAGTAAAATTATACAAAATGTCTATCATTTTATACTAAATGAAGAATTATTTTTACATTGTATTAGACAGCAAGCCAGACTAAATATGACTTAATTTATCAACTTTTTCAGGTAGAGGTTAATTATGCTGTGTCAATGCCTAGTTTTTTTCTTATTGTTTTCTCTCCAACCTCACAGCTTTCTCCATCTCTGGTGAAAATAGCCAGGTGGTAATGATTGCCATTTCAGCGGCGGTAGCAATTATTCTCCTCACAGTCGTCACCTATGTTTTGATTGGGAGGTGCGTTCACCGTCTCTTTTACAACTTACTTGCATTACTGCATTGCTTGTTCCCCTCAACTGCCATTAAACTCTGAAGGGTTTGGTCGATAAGTTATTTTAACGAATAAGAATGTCTCCACTTGTATTCTAGATCTTTCTTTTTCCTCCCTTTCTTTTGATTCTCCACCTTTAGTTTCGAGTTTCTTTTTTTCATTAAATTCTTGTCCCACTCTCAAAAACATACCGTTTCTCTTCCCTCTTCTGACCCCACTCTTAGTTTTTACTTTCTTTTTCCAATTATCGCTTCCCTCACCAAATATACCCCAGATTTCCCTGACACTTTCTCACCCAGAACACTGGTAACACTACGCAGCACTAATCACTAACAATGGAAACTTTACCCTCCATTCATTCTAACAGCAGTTGTTTTAAAAAAAAATACTATAAACACTTGCTAGGGCCATTATAAAAACTGAACTGAAGGAGTCTGCACAGTGGGGAAGCGACTCTCCATATCTCCTCATTAGGCAGCTTTCCAGGATCCCCAGAGAAAGAGGCTTTCTCTAGAGGATTTAGAAAATATGAAGTCATTAAACTTTCACTAAAGCATTTAATTGTTCATAGAAAATGCTTTTTTTGTGTGTGTGCTTTGCACATTCTGAACATAGATCATTGTTTTCAGTATATTTATTTTCTGTGTTCTTTTCCTTTGATTCACCTCTAGGTTCTGTGGCTATCATAAGTCGAAACACGGTGCTGATGAAAAAAGACTTCATTTTGGGAATGGACACTGTAAGTTTCTAACTTATGTTTGCTGTCTTGGTTTTACCATTTCAGTTTAAGCAGTTGTTGACTTAAAACTGGATAACTTCCCCCTGACAGAGAGAATTCTGAAGTAGTTTTATGGGAAGGTTGAGCAAGTTACATTTATTTTAAATGGAGAAGGGAATCCACGGCTCTCCATTAAGTAATTTTTGTGCGGCTGCATTGCAGCACACTTAAGTTAACATGAAGGGTAACTGGTGGTTTATATTCAAATAATGCTCATGATGGGAAGTACATAACTATAGTCAGCTCTGCATGGCTGAAAGGCAAAGCGTATCTTCAATTTCCTTATTACTAGTTATTTGCTGAAATCTAAATAGGAATCTTTCTTCCTTACTTAACTGCCAAGTAAATATAAACAACCTTTGTTTATGTGAAATGCCTGACTCCATTTTGTCAACCAACCAGGATAAAGCCTTTAGAATAAACTTTACTTTGGAGTTACATGATATCCAATTGGTAGGGAAGTCAATGCTTTCCCCTCTTATTTTAATATCAAACAATTTAGTCTCCTTTCAATAGTCTTTAAAAAAAAAATACTCTTATATCTAATTAAAAGACTTTCTTTTTTTCCTTCAGGCAAAACAAATCATTCCAGGTGTTTTGCTTTTCCAAACTATGGCTCAGTTTATTGTGGCAATTACTAATCAGTGGCATGTCCTCCTGGAAATTAGCACAAAGATTACACTCATTCTTATATGTTCTCCAATAATCTCACTGTAACTAATGTAGTCTTGTAAGCATTACTTTCTTTGGCATTCACTGTTGCCTTCTATAAATGCTTTCAGTTCAACATGATACTTCCTATCAGTCATTGACCTTCCACCTAAAAGTTGTAACTTTACAGTAAAAACTTGATGACCTGTTGTTACCATGCAGGAAGCATATAGTAGATTAAAAAAAAAAAATGTTTTCCAAAATGTGAGTTAAAGTAGGATGGACAGAAAGGCAGAGTTCACAGAGAGCATTGTTTGATTTTTCCATCTCATTATAGAATAATTCACAGAAAAACCAATATCAATAATATAATATCAATATCTCATTCCAGAGTAGGTAGGTTTGCAACTCAAAAGTTTTAAAAGAGTGTATGAATAAGTTACAGGATATTTATCTAGCTTTTCCTTCACGATCCCACAAAACACTATCTCATTCACCATGCATAGATGAATCAAAACAGTTGCATTTCTGTGGATTAAATTGATCTTAATCTGAGCTGGACAATGGATGTAAATACTGTCTTTAGAGCAGCCATACTGATTTGGTTCTTTATATAGGAATTATAAATCTCATAAACTTGAAGCACTGATAAATTTTTGTGTATCAATTTTAAGCAGGTTCCTCTATGACTCCAATCTGCTTTAGTTGTTGGTTTTTATGGTGGAGTTTGCTGAAGCTTTAATTTTCTTCAAATGCACGATACACTTATGATAGCCAAACAAAAAAGAAATGTGTTTTACCCTAGCTTTAAGGACATGAAGTAACTTATATGCCTGTCATAAACTCTCTGTGTCTTAATACCACAGCTGGTTTATTTCAGACCATTTATTTGGTATTACTTTGAAAAGCTCTAGCTATGAACTATTCCCTCCAGCCTTGTTACAAATCCTATAATATTGCTTCAAAAGGAAAGAAATGTGTTTCACCTCCTAAGATCCTGTCCCCTTGCCCTCTCTGCCTGGGCCTTTTTACTTCTTTGCTGTCCTTAGGGCAACTCATGCTGGTAAAATGGAAATGTAAATTACTATGTTTGCACAGAACGAGCTGTAAAGTAGTGCAGCTTAACACGTGTGCATGTGTTTATTATCTGGTTTTTTTGACACAGCCCAGTTACTCTCTGTGTCGCCCTTAATTATTGGTGTGAAGGGATTATGCGCTTGCATCCTGAATCACCTGATTCCTGGAACCTCTGGGGATGGCTGTTAAAAATCAGCAGCCAGAGCTCCCACGGTGAACAGGCCATTTTTCTTGGAGATGTGTGTGTATGTGTTTATATTTGTATTGTTTCTCTAAATGCCATGTGGCTAGAAAAGCCATTTACTTGATTTTAATCAATCACGATGAATTTGATTGATTTTATACAGGAATGACTATTTAATTTTTAAATTATTTAGTAATATGGATACTCTCTAGGGTTGACAGGAATGGAATGGTAACTCTAAAGGACACTTTCAAGATTGTTTCAAGCTGGTGCTTATTTAAAATGCTTGAGACATCCTTCCTAACAACTCATTTTAAAATCTTCTTTGTAATTCCTTCTTTAAATTTACATATAGTTGATTTACAGTATTAGTTTCACATGTACAGCGTAGCTATTAGGGTTTTTACAGATCATATGCCATTAAAAGTTACCGTTGAGTAAATGGCTATAATTTCTGTGCTAAACAATATATTTTTGTTGCTTATCTAATTTATATGCAGTAATTTGTATCCCTTAGCCCCATACCCGTATTTTGCCAGTAAATATTTCTCAAGTTGATTTCCTTAAATTCAGCAAGGCAGAATATTTGCAACTGTTTACTAGGAAAAAATATATTTTTCACATAATTTTTTAAAGTACTACCATTTCCCTTGAAAAGGAATGCCAGATTTTCTTACTTTCTAGTCCCCAACCTTAAAATGACTAGGGGGAAAATCAAAACGGGATGTTCTCATATTCTAGCCTCCATTTGATGTGTCTTCTTTTAAATGTAACCAAAGTGACTAAGCAGAAAGGTTCTGAGAAGACTTCACTTCTTGACATCTTTTACTAAATCTTTGGTTACTTTTACTGTTTTCCTTACCCCAAAGCAAGAAAATCTGTTTGCTTGTTTTAACAGTAAATATTTTAGTATTGATAATGTAGAAATAGTTCTAGTGTAATAATAAATAATAGTAGACCACTGTACTAAAGAGTGACTATTTTTATAGGAAGCAATAATGTTTATAATAATAGCAGAAGCATGCAAGCTGATGTGTGAGCTCCAAAGAAATGGGCATTTTTAAACTCAAATTCTGTCTCCAGGAAACCAAAGGATATTCCTGTTTGTGAATAAACCTTCTTTTTTTTTTTTTTTTTTTTAGAATAACCTTCTTAACATGAAGTTACTAATAATGGCAATAGTCTCTGTCATTTTCTGGGCAACAACTACAATCACAGGCACTCAATGCTAGGCATTTGAAAAGCATATTTTTCAGAGTTTTTCTCCTCGTAGGCCTAGTACATTCTTTGTATTGCAGAAAAGTAGAGTTCTTACTTCAAAAGCAACTCCCCTCACAGTTTGCCCAGAGCAAGGGGAAAAAACTTACTATTTCCCCATTTTTGTGGATGTTGACTCCCTAGCTATGGGTGTCATTTCAATTATCAACACTCTGCCCCTGGATGGAGAGTGGTTGCTCTTTTCCAATGTTGTGGTCACTAACCCAACTTATTCTCAATTCTCCATGTGCTCCCTCACCTTTCATACCTATTCTGTTGCCTCAACAGCATCCGAAGAAGAGGCTGAGGAAAATAGTTTTTACCTCCAATCTCTCCCAGTCACCATTTCTCTTATAATCCATTTGTTCTTATGCTTTATATTTCTTTACTCAAACCTCTATGGAAGTTTCCCAGGAACATAGATTATTATGTGATATAACATGGCATTCACAGAGTCATCCTGTAGATTAGCAAACTAACCATTTCTTAATCTAAATTCTGAAATCCTGGACTCATTGGCTAAATGGCCATTGTGCTGAAGGCTCTCTAGAACAATTGCTTTCATGATAGTCCCTACCCCTGTTTCATGAGAACTACCAAACTGGCTCAAAGAAACCTTCAGAAATTCCAGAATGTTCAGGTGTGATTTTGCCATTAAGATTTTTCTATTAAAAAGTGGTATCAGAAAAGACAATGTCTGATTTTATTTGCTATTTTAGGATGTTAAAAAAAATCCTTCAATAATATAGTGTGATAAGAGAAAAAAATGTAACACTACTAAGCGTCCACTTTTCTAGCTAAAACAATTTTACCAATGTTACTAAAATTAAAATCAAAATCAGTTATATTGGCGCATAAAGTGTGGGAGTTTATTACATTATTATTTAATGTTAAAGCATTAGTGTTATGTACTTTAATAGATTTTAGGCTTCCTTTTTATTTTATTTATTTATTTTTTTTTTTTAGGCTTCCTTTTTAGAGAAAGTTCTCAGAGAAAGTTTCTTGAACATTCCAAATTGCTTCTAAAGTGAATTATTTTTCCAAATGATAGAAATTTCATTAAAATTAAATCAAATTCAAAATGATTCCCCTCTATCTTCTGTCTGTGCAATTTTAATTTGGAACATTGTGAAAATTTTCTACCTTCAGAATGATTAAATAAACTATGAAGAAAGTTTATATTTGATAAGCTATAAATATGATTTATGTTTGGAATTTAGCTCCTTACCACCATTATTAAACTTATAGAGCATAATTGTATTGCCTTTAGCTATATTGAAAAGCTGGGTGGTCACCTTCCCTAGTGGTGAGGAACCCGCCTGCCAATTAAGGAAACCTTAGAGACGTGGGTTTGATTCCTGGGTCAGGAAGATCCCCTCGAGGAAGGCATGGCAACGCACTCCAGTGTTCTTGCTTGGAGAACCCCATGCACAGAGGAGCCTGCCAGGCTACGATCCATAGGGTCGCAAAGAATCGGACATGACTGAAGTGACTTAGCATGGACGCATGTTGAAAAGCTCCACACAATGAGATTTCAGTTAACTGATGCTATATCTCTTGTGTACTCAGTCATGTCTGACTCTGTGACCCCATGGACTCTAGCGCGCCAGGGATTTTCCAGGCAAGAATACTAGAGTGGGTTGACATTTCTTCCTCCAGGGATCTTCTCCACTCAGGGGTTGAACCCATGGTCTCCTGTGTCTCCTGCATTGGCAAGTGGATTCTTTACCACTGAGCCACCAAGGAAGCCCATATATACACATACAGTTTAACTTAGATCTATAATTGAAGTGGAGAATTTTAAATGACTATTAATAAAATAGTGTCAGACAAAAAACATGCTGTTTTATATTCTCTAACTATCTATAATTACAGCAGCTATCCCACCTTACGAAATTATTTCACAAACTTTCCTTTATTGTCACATATGACACTATAATAGAGATTTGGTTATTTCATTTTGTTGAATCACACATGTGTGATAGTGTGAAGGCATTCACTCACTATTGTTACAGGTAGTGATTGCTGGGCAGACTCAATTCTGAACCATTCTTCTCTCCTTAAGAACCGCCTCATTTTCCTTCTACTGATTTTACAGAGAAAACTCCTCTCTCTGTTTCATTACAAGGGACTTTTTTTCTTAAATTGTTCAACTTATTTACTCTAACTTTTCTGTCTGATAATTTCTGTGAATAAACCAAAGGTTGATGCAGTTTAATGTCATGGGAATTTTTTTAAACTAATAATGCTATCATAAAACTTTCTCAGTAAATGTTTTACACATCTAGCTACAGTAATGCCTTTCTTCCTTTCTTTGAACAGTAAAACTTCCAGGTCTCAGGACTTATGTTGACCCACACACATATGAGGACCCTACCCAAGCAGTTCATGAATTTGCTAAGGAATTGGATGCCACCAACATATCCATTGACAAAGTTGTTGGAGCAGGTAAGCACCACAGTAATCCCAATGCCAACCTAGTATGTTAATTACAACTTTACAGCTATGCATAAGAATCCTGCCTGAGATTGATTGCTCACACACTCAGGTCCCTGTATATTGCTTTGAAAAGGGACATTTTCTGATTTCATGATGAAAGGCAAGCAGTAAATAAATGCAGGAGTATTTAATGGAATGTAATGATTTCAAAGGTGCCAGACTTACAGGTTATGGTCAGCTTTTTATTTATTGAGTTTCAGAGGCGGCAGCCACAGCAGCTCATTCTCCCCATGGCTATGCTGATCATGTGTCACAAAGTCTATTTGGCTAAATGGAAATAATAGGATGAAAGTGTGTCTTTCTTTAAATTAGCCTACTAAGTGAAAAATTTTGATTTGTAGGGAAAAAAAAGTAATTCTTGACTCTTCTTTGGAGTTAGGCAACATAAAGTAATATTAAAAAATGATGTATTTTATATAAATTCCATCAAAACTGTATTGAGAGAATAGTTCAAATAATATGAAGTGCTCCATTTTAATACCTGCCTGTAACACTAAATAGCTTTAAATTATGTGTGTTGAAACTTGTTTTCATGTAGATATATTTTTGTTCTATTTATTAATTTGCTCAATCATAAATTCATTACCACCTATGGAGTGGTTATTAATTGCAGCCTCATATTTTCAAAAATTATAGATATTTATAAAATAACAATGTTTTGTACTGTTGTGCATAAATATATGGCATTCATAGTATATGCAGTGTCTATTTGAGTAAAACTACTACTCCAAAGAAAAATAAACAACACTGTACAATAATTACACACATCACCTCATTCTTCAATATTGCTTTAAAAACAAACTAGTTATGTTGATGTGGGAAATAGAGTGAAAGACTGAAAAATGAATTCTCTGAATTATGCATACCATATCAGGTCACATTTGCTGCAAGAACTATATATGACTGATGCTTTTTTACACACATGTAAATATAATTTTCTGTTTCTTTTTCTCTGCACTGAAGAAATATTTAGAATTCAAATAGTATTTACTGTTCAAGCAGGATAATCCGAGTGATTCACATATTATCTAAATAAACAAATGGTTTAGTAAATCTCTCTTCTATTTTTTTTAATGTTTATACTCCCAAAACTCACATGTGTGGGTAATATGAAACTATCAGTTCATAAAAAGACTTCTTTTTTCACAATCTAAGACTTAAGAACATACACATTCACTGTACGTCTATGTTAATCCAGCTAAAATTAATCCAGATATATATTTATTCGTCTCTTTCATTTGTATAGTTCTGCTTTGTCAACCACTCCAGAGTGTAGAGGTGTTTTGTCATGCTGGTTTTAATGTTGCCCCACAAGAGTGCACTGTTCTCCAGCATGGAAGCTGCAGGAGTGTATGAAGCACCCTCAGCTGGAGAATGTAATGAGAGAAGGAAAATCTACTCATGGTCAGCCAGGGTCCATAAGGCCAGACATATTGCAACCTCGAAATTTGGGGCCTTCTGCATTAAGAAAAACTTATATATACAGATGTTATTGACAAAGTCAGATATCTAGAACACAGTGTGTGCATGTGCTAGTCACTTGTGTCCAACTCTTTCCAACCCCATGGACTGTAGCCTGTCAGGATCTTCCATCCATGGAATTCTCCAAGCATGAATACTGGAGTTGGTTGCCATTCCTTTCTCCCAGGGATCTTCTTGACCCAGGGATCGAACCCAGGTCTCCCACATTGCAGGCAAATTCTTTACCATCTGAGCCACCAAGGAAGCCCCTATATATACAGGTATTATTGACAAAGCCTAGAACACAGTAGGGTGACATAAAACATACTCATTAAAAGTGGTCTCTGATCAATAAGATAAAAGGAAAGGCTTTCTGTACTGAATCACTTAATAATCTCTGATGCTCATTAAAGATTAGAGCATATCCTCTTTGATTTCTCTTCAAGCATATTTGCAAAAAATTAGAGATATTCCCCATTTTCAGTATTTTGTACCCAATAGCCTCATTTGCCAAATAAGAGCTATAAAACTGCCTGTTTTATTTGCAAATATATATTTCTTCAAGATATATTATGCTTCTCCTGGAAGATTTCTTTATAATATATACTCCAAATTCTAGTCTGTCTTGATTAGGCTTTAAATGATTTGTCATTACCAAGATATAATATGAAATCAAGATTTTGAAAGCTATAAGGTTTAAAATATTTTGTTTCATAATATTTGAAATGTCTACAAAAATAGATTAAATTGTATAATAGTATAATGAAACTGGAAGTGAAAGTGTTAGTCGCTCAGTCTTGTTTGACTCTTGGCGACCCCATGGACTATAGCTCACCACGCTCTTCTGTCCATGGAACTCTCCAGGCAAGAATAATGGAGAGGATTGCCATTCCCTTCTCCAGGGGATCTTCCCTACTCAGGGATCGAATCCATGTCTTCTGCATTGCAGGCAGACTCTTTATTGTCTGAACTACCAGGGAAGCCCACCATAATGAATTTGCATGTACCCATTTCTGCAACAACTTGAATCACAATTCACTGATGACCAATCTCCTTTCATCTATACTCTTAACCACTTTCTATACCTTTCTAATTTTTTAAAATAATGTTGTCTGCAAAAATTAGTAATCATGCTAGATGGATTAGCAGCTATCTTCCACTGTTAAAGAACTGAATATATTATTCAATCAAAGAATTTTATAGTCAATTAAACATACAGGAAGGCTATGTGGACAAATTCTAGTTTTAGGTCAAGAATTTCATACAAAGACATAGATTTAGTAGAAACTCTCATTTATGCATTTAATAGCCAGAAGAATTATACCCATATTGCAAATTACAAAATTAAAACTGAGGCATAGGTTAACTTTCCCAAAGTAATATAATTTTTTTAGTGAGGAATTTATAATGACTAAAATTCCTAATTTTATCCCTCAATCCACATATTTCAAAGTTTTCTATAGGTTGAAAATATGTAATTCTTATACTGTGTTAGGCATTCACATGATTTAATTTTATCAGACTTTTAAATAGGTATTATTATTACCATTTCACCAGATGAGGAAACAGAAGCTGAACATTTGAATGGCCCAGGGTCGCGTAGATGTTAATTGGGAAACCAAAATTTGAATCTTGTACTTTTCAACTTCAAAGTCTATGCTAGACACTGCTGATCACAATAGTGATCAGCCTTCCAAGAATTTTTTTGAGGATTAGCTGAGATAATTCATGTATAGTGTTTAGCTTATAAAACAGCATTGTTCAATATGTATTTTTATTATGTTTTGACTAAAATAGTGGAAGGAGAATGGGTTTTGAGGTAATGCAGAGGGTCATTCTACTTAAACAGAAGTGCATTTTTTCCTATTTTAAATGAAATTAGTATAGAAATTTTATGTTGAGCAACTGTGCATTGTGCACCTTAAATCAAAATATGGTCTGCCCATTCTATTTAAACATATTTTATTTTAAAGAGCAAATACACAGTGATGCACTTAATTGGTATTTAAAAAAATCAAGAGTATCTTCTCAAATAATCTTCTTGTAGCTGTATTTTTATTTAGAAATGACATGATCTAATTTTGTTTTTTCCTTATGGGTACAAATCTAATTGAATAAGATCATGTAAATCTTGACTACATGGAAAAATCAGGCATTCCATTTGCCCAGTCTTTGTTGGTTTTTCCAACACTGTTCTTTTAAGAACAGTTCTTACAAAGAGAATTGAATTAAAATTTAACATTTCTATGTCTAGTGTGGGCTTTCCTGGTGGCTCAGAAGGTAAAGAATCTGCCTGCAATGCAGGAGACCTGGGTTCAATCCCTGGGTTGGGAAGATCCCCTGGAGAAGGAAATGGCAACCCAACCCACTCCAGTATTCTTGCCTGGAGAATTCCATGGACAGAAGAGCCTGGTGAGCTACAGTCCATAGGGCTGCAAAGGGTCGGACACAACTGAGTGACTAACACACACACATGTGTATACTGTATTTGTCACAGTTTCTAGTATTTCTCAGGTGAAATAAGCACATTTCTAAATTTTATGATTTTTTTTTAAAAAAATACTAGCATTACTGAAACACCACTTTCTGGATTTCAAAATCCAGAAAGTGTCCATGTGTCCAGCTCTCCCATTGAGAATGGAAAAAACACTAATTGGGCCACTTGAAATTCAAAGTCTTCCCCTCTGACTTCCCTAGTGAAGTACTTTCAGAATATACTTTTCTTTACAAACACTTGTCCAATAGGATATTAAACGTGTTATCACCATCATCATCACAACCATCTCTTCTTACATTAACAGACTTTAACATTTTAAAAAGAACCTTATTCTTCACTTTGAGCTAACTTTTAAGAGGTAGATAATTCTTATACTATGTTTGTACTCAAAGAAGAAATAGTAAACATCACTTAGATGGCACTTGTTATGTTTCTGTCTCTCTTCTAAGTGCTTTACATATTTTAATTCCTCTAACTATACCAAAATTTTATGAAGTAGAAAATAATTGGTGTCCCTATGTTACAGATAAAGAGACAAAGGCATCGAATCATAGTCACTCAAAATCACACAGATAATAAGTGACAGATGCAAAATTAGACCCTAGACAATCTTGCTTCAGAATGCATGGTCTGTATTACAGTTCTGTGCTATCTGCCCTATCAACTAAGTGCCTTGTCATTTAGAATAAATAGTCATGATATCCAAATTTAAAACATGATCCATGACACCACATTGATACATGATAATGGCAGAACTTTATTTTAGAATGTGAAAATTCATTATGACTGCCTCCTTATGGTTTATCCAAAATTAATGTTTACAAAGAGTGCGTGGGAGTTAGGCAATGTTCTGATAACCCTGCATAAAGAAACTCTTAGTCTTGCTTACAAATTTTACTGAAGTACTTTGCATCCTAACTTCTCCTAATGTTCATGCATCTATAATAGCATATTTTTCCTTTGATTTAAAAATGACTGTTGAATGTTCTCAAGTTCTGCTCCTAATTCTCTCTATAATCCTGAAAGCACCCTAGCTACAGATATTGCTATCTTCTCTATGCTTTCTTGAGGGAAAGAAATTAGATCTGCCTTTATTAGCATTTTATCTATGTGTTTTTCATAGTTTCTGTCACACTGTTGCCAATTGATGAGTATTTATTAAATAAATGTATGAATAACTGCTTTTGGACATTAACTGACTTCAACAAGTTACAGCCTAAGTCATTGTTTTGAAAACAGTTGGCAAGACTGGATTCCTGAGCAAGATCCAAATCTGGGGAAGTCATTTATAGGGATGTGGTTGGTAAATCAATAGGACAACCTGCTGCTTTGTAGAGAGAAGGATTTACTTGGATGAAAAATAGAGAAGAAGCATCTCACTTCTTGACACCTTGGGCTTGTGTAAAAACTCACAGCAAGAGGGTTGGACCAAAAATATTTTTCCATTCCGCAGAAGGCCTAAAAATTGATCATATAATTTTCCCTTTCAGAAAAATATCTCATTTGCTATTAAGAATCACTTTTAATGTTGTACAAAACCCATCTAGTTGCACAATATCAAGATTTCTTTTATGAACCAGGTACATTCTATATCTGACACTAGTGGCCATCACTGTGGCAACCTTGTTGATGTTCAGTCGCTAACACATGTCCGAATCTTTGCAACACCATGGAATGCAGCATGCCAGCTTCCTTGTCCTTCACCAGCTCCCAGAGTTTTCTCAAACTCATGTGCATAGAATTGGCGATGCCATCCAACCATATAATCCTCTGTTGCTCCTGCTTTCAGAAAGCAGAAATATGTAGTTAAATTGGTCCTCTTGGTGAAAACAAATTGGTGAGACATATCTCAAATTTAATCAAGTGCTTAACTCATTATATTGGTGCTGCTCTGTTGATTATTTTGAGGCTATGAGAATAGGGAGTGAAAAGTCTAATAGACACAGCTTTCGAATTCCTTCTTGACCTTTCATATTTCGTTATTCACAATATAGTACTTCAGAAGACACAAAGCTCATGACAAGGTCCATTTTCCACCAGGGTGTGGATGGCTTAGGGTTTTTAGGGAGTCTCAGACTACCATCTTCCAAAATAATTTGGAGGTCTATGAGTGTACATGTTGCAAGTCAAGGGAGTAAATATTTTGAATTGAATTGTTGAGAGAAAACAGTTGCTGTCTACTAATGATTTTCGAAATATCATTCCTTGCCTTTTCTTGTTGTTTTCTTCTTCTGCATTCTAACAGGTGAATTTGGAGAGGTGTGCAGCGGCCGTTTAAAACTTCCTTCAAAAAAAGAGATTTCAGTGGCCATCAAGACCCTAAAAGTGGGCTACACAGAAAAGCAGAGGAGAGACTTCTTAGGCGAAGCAAGCATTATGGGACAATTTGACCATCCCAATATCATTCGACTGGAGGGAGTTGTTACTAAAAGTAAGTGAAGTCATAAAACTGATGATGTGTATGTTGAGCAGAAGTCGTTTAAACCCAAAGTCAGTAATTTAAGATTTGGGGTCTTACTTTCATAAGTCTCTGTTAGTCTTGACAATAAAAACAAAACAGTTTAGGATTAACACAGTTCTTTGACGAGAGATCAAATATATTTAACTAATATTATACTGACAGTGCTATTCTAGATCTTAAAAAGCTTTAAAAAGTTTAGGAGCTAAACCTTGGACTATATTAAGACATGTGGGTTAAAAAAATAGTTAAGTGAACTGTGTGGAACTTTGTGTTATGTGGAGTAGTAGGAAAAACTAATGACTCAGTTTTGACAGAAATTGCTGGGAACTCCCAGATAGCTGCCTTTTCTATTATTGTTCACCAGTTTCATTTAAGCTTCCAAATCTTTACCCCCCTGGCTTTGGAAAAATTATGAGAGTTTGGGGAATGCTTCTGAGCTGTAAAGATTGGGATCACATTAGACCCAAGCCCTTTTCTCTGTTCTCTGTGGATTTCAAATAATTCTGATCTACAGTCCCAGATGGATTCTTGACTGCTCTGGCTCACAGCCTGTGATGGAGATCTGAACTTATTTCCATGATGGCTTCTCCAGTCAGGCTCAAAAGGAATCCCTTGAGGCAGATATGTGATTTTTGGCTACAATTCCAATGAAAATCTCTTGAGAATGATCTGGAATTTATTTTTTTCTCAAGATTTTGGAGCATGAAATGAATAATGAGCTAAATTCACAACAAAGTTCTTAAAGTGAAAGACAGCATGTGGCAGAGAATTTGGCATCCTTTAGGGGGTTATTCATTGGCACCATATTTACATATTCTATGGTTACCAACAGACATTATAAATTATAATTTTTATGATGATATATTTCTTTATCATTACATGGAGCACTTTTCAAATGGCACTAATACGTAGTCTCATTTTAGTGAGACTAAAAAGACAATTCCTTATTCACAAGAGCATGGTATAGTTGAAATATACCTTAATTTGCTTTAGAGTTTTTTAATATAGTAAGCAGGGTTAAGAACTTAACAATGTAGAAGAACTTAGTCATAAACTATAAAGCCATATTGTCTTGTTAGAAGCATATTTTTCCTTCTGTGCTCCTAAAAACAAGGCTACATTTGTTGTAACACTAACACATTTTCTGATCAAAAGATCTCTTTTAATTTTTAAAAATTAGTAATGAAAATACTGCTAGTAGTACTAAGGATTGGAAAACTATTAAGTATTCTTTTCTTCAGGGCAAGACCATATCTATAGAATATCCTACTTCATATTAGAATTACATAATCATGTCTCACTGGGGTTTTCAGTTCAGTTCAGTTCAGTCACTCAGTCGTGTCCGACTCTTTGCGACCCCATGAATCGCAGCATGCCAGGCCTCCATGTCCATCACCAGCTCCCGAAGTTTACTCAAACTCATGTCCATCTAGTCGGTGATGCCATCCAGCCATCTCATCCACTGTTGTCCCCTTCTTCTCCTACCCCCAGTCTCTCCCAGATCAGGGTCTTTTCCAATGAGTCAACTCTTTGCATGAGGTGGCCAAAGTACTGGAGTTTCAGCTTCAGCATCAGTCCTTCCAATGAACACCCAGGACTGATCTCCTTTAGGATGGACTGGTTGGATCTCCTTGCAATCCAAGGGACTCTCAAGAGCCTTCTCCAACACCATAGTTCAAAAGCATCATTTTTTCAGTGCTCAGCTTTCTTCACAGTCAAACTCTCACATCCATACATGACCACTGGAAAAGCCATAGCCTGACCAGAAGGACCTTTGTTGGCAAAGTAATGTCTCTGCTTTTTAATATGCTATCTAGGTTGGTCATAACTTTCCTAAAACTGGGGTTTTAATAGTTGATTAACCTTTTAAATCCCCTGTATCATTCTCACCAAGTGGTTGTCCTTCAGATTTTGAGATCATTGTGAGAAGAAACTCACTGGTATTAAACTACATACTTACATAGACATTTTTCTTTTCATTCTCAATTTTCAAAATTCTCAGTTTTTTTGTTTCCAGTGTAATGAGTTATTATTATACTGTTTTGTTTTGCTAGCTATTTTCTACAAGTTCATTTACTGAATGATAAGCAAAATTAAGCCATAATTATTGTGGAAGATATTCTTATATAAAAAATGGAATAATCAAATATGAATTATAGTCATCTGGCAAAGAAACCCATAAAAAACCCCAAGATTGAAATGCAAGAAAAAATGCGTTTAAAAATTGACCTTAATAAATTGCAGGTATTTTACATTAAACATTTTATTCAAGTAGGGGTCTGTAATATTCTAATATGAATTACAACTGCCTTATTCTTAGAGTGAAAGTTCTAAATTTGATATACCTCCTTCATCAAATATGTATACGAGAGACTGCCAAATTTAACTATATAAATCCCAATCATCTCATATAGTGCAAACATAATAGAGTTGCAAACCTAGAAATAGATTTTGAACTCCTTTAGTGGCATATTTAAACTCTCTAAGTCTGGTGCCCTATTACAACTGAGGGGAAATAGAAATAACAAGGCAGTTGTGTCACCGAAAGAAATTATTTAATCCACTCCTATCATTTTGTTTCCCAAGAATATATAATACTAAAACAACCTACTTGCAAAGCTCAGAAACACACATACAACTAGAAACACAGAGTTTATAATTTAGTGAACAAATTGTATTTCAAGAAAAAAAGAAAGCACATTGGTATCTGGATTAAGAATCAGGGAGTCAGAGATCAAACTCTGATTCAGCTCTCCTGGTCTGTGAGACATCTGACAAATCAAACCACTCCAACAGACTCCCTCTGTTCACTTGTAACACAGAATTAGCAGTCCTGCTTTACTATTTCCAGGTCCTTTTAAGATCAAATAAGATTCCATAAGAATATATTGTTAAGTGGAATACAACTATGCAAATCTAAATGATCACTTCTGGTTGAGTTTGAAAAGATTCTACTAGTTCATCTGGGAGTGTAGAAGAAAATTATTGAGAGCAATTCCATTCTTTGCTCAAAGATAATTTTTATTATGACTATTAGTTATGTGCTTTCAAACACTGAATCTATTCTAATGTATTTTTCAAGTTAGAGAAAGCCCTTTATTCAATCATTTTATTTTCACTTATTTGAATTGAGCCATAAACAATTTTAATGATGTGGTTTTGAGCCTGATGATCTTAAACAAGAGAAGGTGAGAGAGTCTCTGATCTTTAAAGTAGCAGAAAGCTGGGGGCACAGTCCTGCTCAGAACTTCGTATTAACATGTGTTATCAATTTCAGTCGACATTCAAAAAGATGGAACTTGTTTTTAGCAAATGTTTGATATTTCTGCCATCACACCATTATTCAAAAGATGTTCAGACTGCATCCAAGAAGACTTTCCATTGGTCCACTTTTCACATAGTGAAATAGAAGGAATTATGTTGGATGAATTGGAGAAGGAAATGGCAACCCACTCCAGTGTTCTTGCCTGGAGAATCCCAGGGACGTGGGAGCCTGGTGGGCTGCCGTCTATGGGGTTGCACAGAGCCGGACACGACTGAAGTGACTTAGCAGCAGCAGCAGCATGTTGGATGAGATGTATTTTATGTTGATATTTGGGGATGGATTATTTTCTAAAATTTAAAAAGTAATAATGCAACTTAGCTGTAACCTTGTACTATTGAGGAAAGTCATGGGCAGAAGATTAAGGGGATTTCTCATATTGAAAAGACTTCTATATTGGTGTGGGTGTCCACTGGACAGCAAAAGCTCAATCATTTGCTTGCATTTTCTGTACATATGGTAATAAAATATTACTGGATTAGTTGTCATTCTTTAGTGACTATGCCATATTATGTCTATTTCTTGTTTGTCTCTCTCTAAAACAGTGCTGGGACTTGTCTCAAGGACACTGCTCTTCATGTCATAGTTTTAATAGACTATGTATATTTTATATATATTTTATTAATAATTTGTAAAAGCAATTTGTTACAATAAATTTTAGAAACTGATGAAGCAAGTTATGCATTTGTGACTATAATTGATATATGAGTTGAAAACATCTCTAAGTGGCCATATCAACCAAACTAGGAAAATCTCTAATCAATATATTAGAAGAAAAATAAGTAACACAGAGAATCTCATTTTTACATGTTTAAAAAATTTCCTTATTTCCTCAACATTATCCACTCATGTCTCTCTGTTGAATTGGCCACAATTATAAAATAATATGTTGCTGTGTGTTTTCCCCAATCATTTAGATAGGATAGGCTTTAATGTTTTTGAAAGATTATATTTAGTTTACAAAATTTGTTAGAGCATGAGTTGAATGTGCTCATATTGCCTCTTACAGAGTTCTAGTTTAAATCTGCAATATCTCTCCTAAAGGAAGAAGAAATATAACTGTACATTTGTCTCACAACTAAGTAGTTCTAGTCTTACACAAATTCTTGCAGAAAGGGGAAAAAAAAACCCGCACATAAAGCTAGTGATATCTTAATATCAAACCATATAGGAATATTATCAGTAAAGAAAATAAGAGATTAGTGTAACACCTGAACAAAACTTCAATAACACTGGTATAATTATGAAATCATAACTAGCAATTATTAAATAAAGATACCTTATCATGCCCAAGGTTAGTTTATTTCAAGAATACAACATTAATAGAAAAAGCCTGTCTCAATACATGCAAAAATAAACATTTTAATTTAAAATTTTTTCTTAACATATTATGCATAGAAATACTCTTGCCTGATAAATGTATATAAACCCCTCCAAAACAAAAGAAAACAAGCCTACAAACTCCATAAAACTATGAAAGCATTTCTTTCAAAGTAGAAACAAGTCTGCTATCACCATTTCAGTTTATCATTAGACCTAATGTCTTAATCTCAATTTTTGAAATTAGACAAGAAAATAAGTAAAATGTAGAAAGTTTGAAAAGGGAAAAAAAAACTAAGCTGTACTTATAAAATCTAACTGAGAATATTCCAATTATTATTTTCATTAATCATTATTCCACTTATACGAATCAGCTCTGAATGGAATAAGGGCGAGTAGAAATGTTGGTCCTATTCTTAAAAGTATTAAATTTCACTTCAAATTTAGCATACATACATTAAAAATTTTAATCAGCTGAATGTAAAGTTTTTGATGTGTGAAGAGTAGAACTGGTTAAAGAAGAGTTGGAGAAAGTACTTTTTAGCCTGATTTTGAAGAGAGAGACTATCCTTAGCTGAAATAATAGATCTGATATGATCAGTTCTAACTGGAACTCTTATTTAGGACTATGGATAAAATAGAGTTGGTCCCTGCAATGGTTAACTCATAAGCCATTGGATGTAATAGGGATCATTCTTAACATAAATAATATCTTGATTAAATGGAATTTGGAAAAGATTGTCATGTGTGTTTATATGACTTAATGGTAAACCTGTAGAAAAATATTCCAATTCAGTTCATTACAATATTTCTATCAGTTGGTTAGTTATAGTATATGGAAATCTATAACCAAAACATTTTCTTTCTAATCAAAGGTGATTCAAATCACCCTTTCCAAGAATGCTGAGGCATATTTTGTCAATTTTCTTCAATTTTCTTTCTCCTGTTTATGCTCTTTTTCTTCCACTCTGATTCTGATTACGTGAATACTGAATACTGACTGCTAAGGTCACAGACTTTGATTTTGTAATCACATGTATATGTTGGAAAGTGTATAAGTCTTGAAAGCAAGACAGAGTGTGTAAGACACAATTACTGTTAATAGCAATTAATTGCATTTCCTATTAAATGAATTAAATTTCAATAATTTGCAATATGTAAATCATTTATACATGCTTTTCATTTTTGATTGAAACTATTTTAGTCTAAAACCACATTTATTTGATAATTATAATAAAAAGTCTATGTCTGGCTATATATTTATAACATTATCCTGCTTCCTTTTTGTAGAATATTTGATTAAGAAGGTGGTGAAATAGATAGTGCTGAACTTGAAATTCTTAGACATTTTGAATTACATTTCCTTTGTCAGCAAACAAAATGATTAGTAATATCTCTGAGCCACTGGGGAAATGAACTCATTGTAAGCGACTGTTGTGCTTCCCTTAACCCTTTAATTATGAAAGATCATGATTTTATCTATACTCATGTCAACTGAAGAACAAAAGCAAAATTCCACTGCATTTCATTTTGCTGATTCTTGATGGAGTTTCATTTCAGCCAAACAACAATAATTTCATTGATTTTTTAATGTATATTCAGATGTTATTAAGGATCTCTGAGGAAGTTAATGACAGCAGCTTTTGAAGAAACTGGTAATGTCATTTCTAAATCAAAATACACATGAAAAAATGTGCAAACTTTGATAGAAATACATTAAATAAAGTGCAGATGAGCTGGTATTTTATAAATAATTTCCAGCTACATTTAACACATATTAGAACTAGTTCTTACCACTATTGCAGTTTCTTTTCCTTTTACTGTTTATCATAATCAAAATCACAAGAAAAGTAAGTGAAGATATTGCTTTCCAAGGTAGAATATTTGTGATTTTGTTTACTTTTTGTCATACATTTGTGTTTGCTGAATCTTTGAACTTAATGCAAAGCACATTTTCAGACTTACTCAATTTAACTGATGTGTTTACAAATACCTAAATTATAGAGCTAAATGCAGCCTGATCTGATTTCTGAATGGTCATGGGGCTTTGGTTTAATTGACTGGTTTGATTTTTGAGCTACTTTTATTTCCCTTGCCAAACATTTTACCAGGCATGCTAACAAGAAATGAAATGGTCATAGGGCTGGGAGCCAGAAGGAAAAGAGTGATAAGCAAAGGTCTAGAGAATATACAAATATAGTAACTGGCCACTGTAAGTGAGAGTTTACTGTAAGAAGCAGTGACCATGTTCAAGAGCTGCATTGAGTTTCATGAGCATACTATTCTTCTAAGAATTTGTTAAGGAAGAAACATAGAAACTTACCGTGAAGTAGGGAAAACGTGCATGTGCAGGGTTTCATTCATTTATTTGATTGTTCATTTATTTCACTTCAGGTTAGTTCTCTGCAATCAGTCCTTAGATATTTGATTTACCAGTTCAGAAGAGAGAGAAGTTTTCAAAAAATGTTGAATTTTCTGTTTCTTCCTGAATATTTTTAAATCAAAGTTTAGTTAAAATTTTGAAGAAGCAAGACTGGACGCTCACAATTTTGACTAAAATAACTTTTCAGGCATTATCAGGTTGTTTCTTGTTTTTGAAAGTGTGGAAAATTTTATTAATATTTAGCTTAAAAAACTTCACATCAGTGGTACACCAAGAGATGTATAATGTGTCTGATATGTTACCCAAAATATACGACTAAATCAGCCTTCAGTTCAGTTCAGTCACTCAATCATGTCCAACTCTTTGCGACCCCATGGATTGCAGCACACCAGGCCTCCCTGTCCATCACCAGCTCCCGAAGTTTACTCAAACTCATGCCCATTGAGTCGGTGATGCCATCCAGCCATCTCATCCTCTGTTGTCCCTTTCTCCTCCTGCCCCCAATCCCTCCCAGCATCAGGGTTTTTTCCAATGAGTCAACTCTTCGCATGAGGTGGCCGAAGTACTGGAGTTTCAGCTTCAGCATCAGTCCTTCCAGTGAACACCCAGGACTGATCTCCTTCAGACGGTTGGATCTCCTTGCAGTACAAGGGACTCTCAAGAGTCTTCTCCAACACCACAGTTCAAAAGCATCAATTCTTCGGCGCTCAGCTTTCTTTATAGTCCAACTCTCACATCCATACATGACCACTGGAAAAACCTTAGCCTTGACCAGACGGACATTTGTGGGCAAAGTAATGTCTCTGCTTTTTAATATGCTATCTAGGTTGGTCATAACTTTCCTTCCAAGGAGTAAGCGTCTTTTAATTTCATGGCTGCAGTCACCATCTGCAGTGATTTTGGAGCCCAAAAAAATGCAGTCTGACACTGTTTCTACTGTCTCCCCGTCTATTTCCCATGAGGTGATGGGACCAGATGCCATGATCTTAGTTTTCTGAATGTTAAGCTTTAAGCCAACTTTTTCACTCTCCTCTTTCACTTTCATCAAGAGGCTTTTTAGTTCCTCTTCACTCTCTGCCATAAGGGTGGTGTCATCTGCATATCAGCCTTAATTGACAATAAATAACTGTGTCAGTTGATTTGTACATATATGAAAATCTAACAAATTTTACAGAATTGAAATAATTCCTCACCTCTAAATAAATAAGATATATATAGCTTGGGATATAATCACATACTAAATATAGTAAGTATAATCTTCCTGGTACTAAGCCATACTTCACAACCAGTATGAATTAAGAGTTTCACTAATGAAAGGAAAAACAAGGAAAGACAGCTATTTTCTGGCATCAAAATGGCAAACAAATGATGATGTAGAAGAAACACATGAAAAAAATTATGCATGCCCTACAATTATGTGTACATGAATGTTAAAAATCTATTATGTGCTCAAGGTCTCTCATGCTTAGTCAAAACTTAACTCAGGTCTTTTGGACTTGGAAAATAAGTGATTTTTTTTTCTTTTCGTAACATAACAGATTTATATTTAAAGCAGTATATAAAGAAAGCAAAGATAAACAAAGTGAATTATGCTGTGTTAATATGGGTAGACTTTGAAACTGGAGTTACATTTTACTGTAATAATTTTTTTTAAGTGCTATAGTCTTCAGTTATTCTTTCAATTCAGAATGTTCCGTAAAACTGACACCCAACAACTGCCTCAATTATTACCTATAGCTGAAGATTTATTTTATTTGCAGATCTAAGTATCAGCATACTTAGCACTTCTGTGCATTTTTCTAACACTTTTTCATATATTAAATATTTCCCTCAGTGTACATTTCCAGGAGTAACAGCATAACATATTCAAGTTGCAACTTCTGGCTTTATAACTTATTATCTATGAGACATTAAATTAATTACCTTCTGTATATTTCAGGTTTTTTCATGTAAAAAGTGAGAATGGCAATAATTAGTGTTAGTATATATAAAATAGTTAAACTAGCACTTTATACAAATGAAGTAGGTATAATGACATTTAAATGCTTGTTAAAATGTTTAATGTTGTTTAAGACCCATATTTCTCAAATGGTCATAATAAGGTACTACCAATAACAATTTTAATTTTATTTTTCTTTTAAAGGTAGTATGGATTTTATAACTTTTAATGTGTTAAATGAATATGAATTAAAATGGTTATAATTATTAGTCTTAAATGTTTTGCCAGTTTACATGTAGGATCCATGAATGTAGGGACTTTGATTTACTTCGTTCTGAATAATCAGCCCAAGAGCAAACACCTAGTATATAGCTCTGTACATATCTGTGTAAAGTGTAAATGGTTGTGGAATTTTGGGCTCTATTTGGTCTTAAAGACAGAAATACTTGATTTTGTATATCAGCTAAAATAAAATGCAATTAGAATAAAGAAAGTGCATCATTTGATTTAAGGAAAGCCATGTCAGAGAAGCTAATTTACATATCATATAGGTTATAGGCCCTTTTTCTGAAAACAAATCTTTCTCCATTTTTTTGCTTCATTTTCTACTGAAAACTAGTTTTCTTTTTAAGTGCAACTTTGCAAATTTTGGAGGACAGAGAAAAATTTATGTTTTTTAATTCATCAGGTATATCAAAATGTATTGTGTGTGTTCGTTGCATGATATTTGTTGAACTCTACTGATGATTATGCATTTATTATTTATCTAAACCTAGGTAAACCTGTTATGATTGTCACAGAATACATGGAGAATGGTTCCTTGGACAGTTTCTTACGTGTAAGTAGATCTTTTATGTACATTTACATATCTCCACCTTATCTTTATCTATCTACAAACATATATATATATATATATGGAATAAATTGCTGAAAATGATAGTGACAACCTCTATTATGATGCCCATTAGATAATCAGACTTTTAAGAAAATTGACGTGGTTGGCACTAAATAGTAAAAGGAAGATTGTAAAATTACATCTTTATCTTGTAGCATCCAAATGTTAATGGTTTATATTTTTAAAATAAGTTTGTGTAATTTTCTTCAGTTTTTTTATTCAGACAAGATTCACATTAGTTAAAACAAAAATTTAAAGGTTCTAAAGTGAGACATAAATAAAATTGGTATAGACAGAAGCATTCATTTCTTTATTTAAAGCAACTTCCATTTACTATAAGACCAAAGACCTTCTCTCTCTTACATAGTACTGTCCTCTCAGAACCTAAGCATGTGATATAATGCCTAAGTAGTCTCAATCCAAAGATATCATTGCTTATCATAGCTAGCTTACATACATATATACATGTATAAGATATATTTACCTATAAATTCAACTGTTTATATTTATAAACATTGTTTTAATAATTTTGATAAATATTATATTCAAAGAAATTCAGAAGTTATGTGGAATACAATACTCTGTCAATCATCAGTCACTACAAGGATGAAAAAAAACAAAAAATCAAGACATAGACCCTATTCTCAGGGTGCTTTTAGCACTATGAGATAAGGATAGATAGATAGATAGGTAGATAAAACATATACTATAATTTATAATCATGGAGAAAATTCTAATTTTTGTATGAATGAGAAATTATATTCTTTATTTTAATATTTGTGAGACAAATAAAGATTTTAGTAGCAATTATTTTCATAGACATATTTCAAAAACAAACATTTTACAACTCAGGTAATTAAAATATTTAATAGTATTCTTTTAAAGTTTAATAAATATTCCTTTTAAATTATTGCTTTTTTAAAAATTACTAGACATTAAATTTTTATATATGTATATATGCATACATCTATCTAGATATCATCTATCTATTGTATAAACTGTATATTTCTATTTTAATCCAGACAGATTGGAAACTTTTCTAAATCTAGTACTCTGAATTTATCTCCTATTACTTTCAATTTTATGACCTAAAACTCAAGGTTGGGTAAAAAAACATATACCCAGTAAATATTTTTGACTAATGTTGAACTATTTTTTATAATGAAAGACTCAAGTTACCTTATTTGAAGTCATTAATAAAGCACATGAAAACAAAAAGGAAGAATAAACATTCAGTCAAGCCAATAAACACGAGAAACAGCCAGAGGATCCTTTTTATTTTGTTATTCTTGACCTTAAAGTTTCTGAGAAGGAGTTTGTCTCCTCAAAAGACCAGCAAAGTTCTGGTTTTGAACCTGAAGTTAAAGAATATTAGGCAACTTCTTGCTACAAAGTATTGTAGCTACTATCCTATTTTGCTTTACTCTTGTATATCTTGTTAGCCTTGTGTACTTAAAACCAATATATAGACTCTACAATTCAGTATTTGAAAATGTAATCAAGATATGTCTAAGGGAATAGCAACACAGCTCAACTGTACATTTGAACTATTTCTCAGAAACATGATGCCCAGTTTACAGTTATCCAGCTGGTAGGGATGCTTCGAGGCATAGCATCTGGCATGAAGTATCTCTCAGACATGGGCTATGTTCACCGAGACCTTGCTGCTCGCAACATCTTGATCAACAGTAATTTGGTGTGTAAGGTTTCTGATTTTGGACTTTCACGGGTTCTAGAAGATGACCCAGAAGCTGCTTACACAACAAGAGTGAGTAACTTGCTTTCTTTTTTTATTCTTTTATATTTAACAACTTGCCTTATGTTGACTAACAAATAAATAGAAGCCACATCCCAAATGCTTTGTTAATTATGTGTGCATGCTTGCATCCTTAGTCATTTCAGTAGTGTTAGACTCTTTGCAAACCCATGGACTGTAGCCAGCCAGGCTCCTCTGTCCCTGGGATCCTCCAGGGAAGAATACTGAAGTGGGTTGCCACGCCCTGCTCCAGGGGATCTTCCTGACCCAGGGATGGAACCCACGTCTGCTGCATCTCCTGCATTGCAGGCAAATTCTTTACCACTGAGCCAGAGAGGAATCCCTTTGTCAACTGTATCTTCCCCCAAATGAGATTTATCCTTTAAAAATAAAATATTGTTGCTTATTCTGGGAAAATAGATGATCACTGTCCATTAAGTGAGTAATGATATTAATTCTGAAATTTCATATGTTGGTTTAATGGTTTTCCCCCAAAAGGCAACGAGATTTTCATGCATCTAAATCTTATTTACTCATCTTTTCATCATGGTTGCCTTTATATATGAAAATAAACAGTGATAACAAACTACATGGAAAGCAATTAGGCAATTAATGTACCAAAATCTTCACTAGCCATGAGAATGAAAGATTTTTTTAAAAAGACAGTCAACTTCTGCTGTTTTCTTCTTAATTCTAGAAGTTTATCCCTGATTAAACAAACAAAAAATTCTCATTCTTTTCAGCCATCATGAATCTCAATAGTATTAACCTCTAAGGTTGTCATATGGCAATTATATGTCACTCTAAAAGAGTTCAATATGCAAGATTGAATTTCATCTACAAGTAAAACTAGTGATAGAACCACAGAAAGAAGCTGAGTGCCCCAGATATGTCCCTAGATGTGTTGATTTAGAAGTTAGAACTCTCCTAATAACTCACCCTTGTTTGTATTTCCTGTGTTCAGTTATGCTCTGTAGTAGATTACCTCTGTTCATGAATCTGTGTTTTTAGAAACTCTGTTCTGCATAAAAATGTTGCTGTTCTTACTTCATTAGATTAAGAGCAAGAAAAATGTAAGAAAATTTTATATCTTGCAGCTAGTTGATTAAGTTTAGAACAGTGAGTTCTCCTACACAGCTCCGAAAATGTGAAAAAATTACACATTTTTGGGGTGTAAGTATCTTGATAGAGTCTTTTAGTGCTCCTTCTTTGACCAGAAAAATTAATTAGCCAACATGCTGCAGCAAAGCATTCTTGTGACTAAATTATTATTACAGGGGACAACATATGCAGCAGACAATAATATATTTGCTATCCAGAGGGAAATGGTTTTTATTTTACTCACTACTATGGATTCTGGGCTTCCCTGATAGCTTAATGGTAAAGAATCCACCTGCCAATGCAAGAGATGTGGGTTTGCTCCCTGGACCAGGAAGGCCCCCTGGAGAAGGAAATGGCAACCCACTCCAGTGTTCTTGCCTGGGACATCTCACGGACAGAGATTTAGCCCTGCTGGGCTAAAACTGTGGGGTGGCAAAAGAGTCAGATATGACTTAGCGACTAAACAACAACAACAACAACTGTGCCTTCTACAGATACCCCTCATAATCTTCTGATACTATATGAGCTTTTAACATACTCCATGAAAAGTGTCATTCTTGCTGGCATTGTCCCTGTTACAAAAATCACCTTATCCAAAACATTTTTCCGTTTCTAATAAAAGCTATTTGTGAATAAAAGCCTTTGTGTGAGATGTTCTATTTTCTGGTAATTCATTTAGGTTCTAAACTGTATTCCATATCCCATTTTTAAATGTGAGCACGCTTATTCTCAATACTAGTCTTGATCTCCAGTGTTAGGGAGAAAGAATTTTTCTCTACCCTTCAAAGCTTCTTTTAGCTGGTCTAATAATCAAATCAACATAAGACAGATTAACAGGAGAATAACAAATTTAATTTCATATGCATGGGAATACCACATATATGAGAGGGTCAAAGACAGCAAGGCAAAATGAGATATACATGCCTCCTTGAGCTAAGGAGAGCCTGGGCCTTCAAAGGGATGAACACTAATTCACAAAGTTAAGAGTAGATGCTGGGCAACTAGATGTTTGCTCTACTATACATATGGGCCATGCAGATAAAATTTATCTCTGCTAACAAATCTCATTCAAAGAAAGGATTCTCCCTCTGATATAAATTCTTTAAGGGGCTTTCCCGGTGGCTCAACTGATAAAGAATCCACCTGCAATGTGGGAGACCTGGGTTTGATCCCTGGGTTGGGAAGATCCAATGGAGAAGGGAAGGGTTACCCACTCCAGTATTCTGGCCTGGAGAATTCCATGGACTGTATAGTCCATGGGGTCGCAGAGCCAGACACAATGAGTGACTTCCACTCACTTGCTCAGGTGAGAGGCAGAAGGTTCTCTTGAACTGGAAGGGTCTTGATTGCCTTTGACTCCAAAACATTCGCATCTCAAAGCGACATATTTTGGGGTGGTTGGTTCTGGACTCTTGCACCAGGATACTCCAGGAAACAATTTATCTTGTAGAAACTTGAAAGATTCATTAAAATCTAAATCATCTTCTCTCTGCAGAATATAGCTTTTCAACTTTCAGAGCTTTATTTCTACTGATTGTTACTTTTTCAGAACCAAAGGGTCCTCAAGATCACTTCTTCAAACTTATTAAAAGAACAGTGTTGCTGTGCCAAAGTTCCTCCCTAGTATTTGTGAATTAAAAATGCAGCAGGATCTCTGCATTGATGCTTCATGCCCAGATGATTCTTCAAAATCACAGCATCCAAATGGGCTCATTCACTACCAATGAATAGTTACTTAGAGTTCTTCAGTGTTCATCCTTTTATTTTCTTACAACTCCTCAAAATATCTGTGGTGGTCCTGACTTCCCTCTGAGAAGCTGTAATTTGCATCTACATTTCTGGAATCATTTAGACATCTTTGATTTAATTTCCCATAGTAAGCCTTGTTCAGTAAAATAATTTTATAATTTATGTCAAATATGAAGTATGATTATAAAGTAATAGGACTGCTATTTTGTTTTTTAAACAAATACACTGAAGCAAGTAAATGAGTGTTGTCATACTAAGCTGTCTTTTTAGGAGTGTGTGATTACTGCAGGAACACTGCTATTGCCCAAAATGTTTGAGAATTTTCTCCTTTGAAATTATCACTGGATTATAAATTGTACTATCACTCAAAATTCTTTAAGCATATAGTACTTTGAGAAGCAGACTTGACTAAGATAAAATCTGTAGTCTCAGTAAGCTAATAGTTAATAAATAAGGAAAATAGTACTTTCTTGTAAAGTCTATTTTTTTCCTAACCAAAAACAGTATTATTCAGCTTAGACATCTGCCGTATTTATTAGATTTAGCATGCTATGATTATGGTTATTTCAGAAAAACAAGTTCACCGTTTAAAACAGTGTGCCAAGGCATTCTTTTTGGATAAACACATTCTTGTTCATCTTTTTTACCAGTCACGTTACTTTAGTCACACTTAACACATTTCAGGAATAGCATTCAGTGCCTCAGTGCAGTAAACCTTTCGACTGCTTCTCTGAAAATTATTGCCTTTAGGTAGAGATTGTAATTGCACTAAGAAATCTTCGGCGATATTAGATTCAATGACACTGAATGGATGTAAGGTGTCTGCTGTTCTCATTTTTAAAACATCTTTGTGGTTGACAGAGCAGAAGAGAAGTAGAAATTATATCCACTAATTCTATATTTAAAGATTCTTAAACTGAGGCTTCCCCAGTGGCTCAGTAGTAAAGAATATGCCTGCCAATGCAGGAGATGCAAGTTCGATCCCTGGGTCAGGAAGAACCCCTAGAGAAGGAAATGGCAACCCACTCCAGTATTCTTGCCAGAAAGATCCCATGAACAGATGAGCCTGGAAGGCTTCAGTCCATGGGGTTGCAAAGAGTCGGACACAACTGAACACACACGCACACGCACACACATGCATACACACGCACATGCACACACGCACACGTGCGCGCACACACGTGCACACACACATGCACGCACACACACACGCACGCACGCACACACAAACTGGAGGGAATATCTGAGAAGTTGAGAAAACCCTTAGTTTCACCACTTAAAAAAATGTATCAGAGATTTGATCTTGCTGCTTTTGATACTGCCTTAAGTATATCCTGAGTTTTCCTTCCTTGTATCTTCAATAGTATGCCTAAAGGAAAGGGTCAGCTGAGATAATAATACACACTTTTATGTGTGTTTTATCTTTTCCATAAGAATATTGGGTAGGAAATTGGGCATTTTTTAAAATACACACTTTAAGTTATTTCTCTTTACTTCTCACTACTGACTTATGCAGAAATTCCAAACACTGACACTTTATTTTACAATATTATTGTGCATCCTGTAACCTTTAAAAAATTTGACTGTACATTCATGAGATATGAGAATGAGAAAGATATAAAGTTTTAATATTACAATGAAAGTAGTTCAGTCTTGCAGACACCCTGAAATGCTCTTAAGGACACCCAGAAATACTTGGATAACACTTTGAGACCCACTGCTATAGATACTTTATGAGGAAAATAACACCTTAAAAACTAAGTAAATATTTGACTGGTTATTAAATGATATAACATCTGACTTATGATATAGTATTATATGTTGTAGCATGTTTTGAAGAAAGGTCTTGAAGCTTACTTGTGGTTGCATACCTAAGGTCGCAAACCATCTTAAAAGACCCTGGATTTTACTTGGAATGAATATAATTAGAGTATTTAGCTCTACAAATTTAAAACATCAAAGTTTTTGTTATTGAGAAAAACAAATGAAAAAATTAATCGCCTCTTTAGTTACACATCATGTAACTTTCAGAGTATAATTATGCATTTTCCTATTTTTTGCACTGAACTAATAATTGCTGTATTTTATAATGTCAGAAGTGGGGTGTTATTGGTGAGACTGCTTTCAAATAAATAATTTTTAATCTTTTTCATATGAAATTT